TCCTTGTTTATGTGTATACAGAGAGCAAACTGGACAGAAATGTGTGTTCTAATGGTGCCCTTCATCAAGAGATTTGAACATTTGTGTGCAAAGCAAGAAGGCATAGTGACATACCTGTTTTTCCATATGCTAAGAAATGGAAGTGAATAGATCTTTATTACTAGAACTTCTTTGGTTGTGCTGTTTCTTCTGTATTATGTCTTGTAGGGATTTGTGAATCCATCTTTGATTTGCATGGTGAGCTAGTTAGGGCAATTTTATCAAAATGAACAATCTGTTGGCCTTGGATGTAGGGAATGTAATGTGTTAGAACACTTCTCCTGTGTTTCGAACATATATTCTTAGCAGCCATATGATGACTTATTCCAGCTAGAACTGTGAAGTTTTGAAACTTATCCCACAGTCTCCCAGGCTGACAATATAAGGGAAAGATACAGGGTAGGTGGGTACAACCTTCTTAAGAAAGCTAAATTTGTAGTTTGTTTGGGATGCTGTGTATTTATCGAGATAGGATATTTTCTTTGGTTTTACACCTGACTGAAAGTACAGACTCTTTTATAATGCGAACATAACATATTTCTTTTCATTAAAAAAATGCATCTTTAGGTTTTGTTGAAAAGTAGAAGTCTAAAATAATAAAAAAGGGAACATGACCCATTCTGACAATCAAAGGTAGGATTAGCTTTAAACCACCTAAGTGTCCAACCGAGCTTTAAAGCTTTCTAGCGTTGGACATTCCACAGTCACATATAACAAACAGTTCATTACAAAGCACTGCTCTCCTTAGGAAGTGTTCTTTTTATCCTCCTAGAGTTGAAGCCATATACTAGTTTTCCATTTTGCTATGGATGTAAATAGGTTGCTTTCTGGACGTTCTTTATGCAGTTAAAGCCTGTTCTCAGTCTTCCCTTCTTCAAGTTAAACAACCAAAGCTCTTTTCAAGTGTTCTTGTACTGTAAGGTATTTTCCTGAGCATGATGCCACAGCCTGCTACCCAGAACAGCCACTCTGAGTTAGCAGGTATGTCAATATTAAGTACATAGCTGAGTGTACTATTTACCTTTCTTACAAGACTGTGGTCTTGCCAAATCATTTCAGCATTTGGTGCTCTCTATAATAAAACTGACACATGTAGAATACTACAGTAATTTGGGTCATTCGTTTAATACAAATACATTTTTTTTCACAACAATAAGCAGATACATTACTTTTGTTTCCCTTATCTTCTCTCTTTCAGTACACATTCAACCACAATTTTTCTTTTGCAAAAGAGAGGGAGTTAAACAAGTAACACAAACTTGTAGTTCCAAATATTATACACAGTAAAATATTTTCATCTTAGAGTAAGTTTCATTGCATTATTAGAAATTATAAATGGGTTTTTCTGATGATGGGAAATTACTATTTTTTTCTACACAACAAAAATAAACACTGCCTTCCGATACAGCAGTGTGTGAATGGCACAGTTGGACTAGTTGAGAATCTTTGTAATGCTAATGATGGTCAACAGTGGTATGTTTATGCCAGTTTGAAATAAATTTTATAATGCTTGTAACTTAAAACAGGAAAAGAAATGTGCTTGTTCACAGGTTAGGAGTATCTTCTTTAAAATTCCAGATCTGATTTGACACCAGATTACTTCTACCTACCTTCATTAAAACTTTCCTTAAACAAGAATGCAGATTAAGCTGCTCTTGGTAATGGCTGCTTAGAGCAAGGTTCTGCCCTTGTGGGTTTAGCCAAGGCTAAATTCCACTGTCAGCATCTTTCTTTGAGATGCACTGTGGTTACACAGGCAGTTTGGTATGGATCTTCATTTAATATGTTATTTTCATTAAAAAGTCTTAGAATGTATCTTAAAACTTTCAGCATACCGTTTTTTTTGCAAGATAGAATCCTGTGTTTGTTAAATTGAGAGACAAAATTGTGCTTTGTGTAGGAATGAAAAAATATTTGCTGGTAAGCAGCAGTCTGGTGTCTGTATTTGTGCACCTTATTCATGCAGACCTGTATCCAAGGCATGGTTGTGTGAATAGCTCGTTGCCCTTTTGAAGAGGTAGCACCCTGCTTCAGAACCAAATTCCAATCCTGCATGAAATCCCTGAAAGCTCTAGAATATCCAGTGCACCTAAGAAGATAAAGGGATGCACGGGGCTAATACTGTAATGCTTTAAAAGGTTAAAGACTGCTTCAAGCTGCAGACTTTTTGTCTGTCTCAGCAGACAATGTCCTGTTTTGCTGCTTTTCCTGCTGTCTAATATTTCAAAGGGAAAGGAGGAATTTCAAGTCTTTCTCCGTTCTTGTGTTTCACTAGCTGTAAGCTCAGTTGCACGTGTAGTTGAGATGAGTTCTGAAATAGCGTTTTGAAGTTAAAGTCATCAGTATAAAATTCTGCAAGTTGTCTGTTCTGTGGCCGACTCTCCAGTATATTTTAAAAAAGGTACAGTAATCTTGTTGGATGCTAGAGTCTGCTTTCAGAAGCCTCAGGTATTTTCTTTGAGCTGAATTTTCTACTTGTTCAAGAAAAAAACCAATGTGAATTAGTCTCCAGTGAAGTGTCAAAACAGGCGATAAAGTACTTTCAATGGGGTCATGAATCTATAGCAGGTCAAAGAAAAAGTTGGCTAAGGAAGCAGGGTTACTGTCACTTTGTAAGAAAATCTCTGATTATTTCATAAAGCTGTTAATTTATCTATCTTCCATAATAATGTTCCTTGTCAGTCAATTTTGCTATGATTCATCAGGTTTTATTGTAAATATCATCCCAAACATTTAGATGCAACTAGTAATTTTAAGTGTCTAACTTCAGATTTAAGATTTACTTTTTAGCACGTAAATTTACACTTCTTGAAAACCATGCCTTTGCAGACTATTTTAAATGTGCAGTTGTGAGGCATTCCTTAGTACTGTCATAATTTTCTGAAGGCCTTCTGAAGCCTCCTTCACAGTTACAAACAGAGAAATGATTTGGTTACTCTTGTATGTCATTTCAAATGAGAAGCTGCTACAATTCCAATTTGAAATTGTAGAATTGGGAAGTTATTTTGTATGAAAAGTTTGTGGTGTTATGTGAAATCTTAAACATCAATCCAACTCACCTGGAGACACAGTAAATATTAATATGTATCTAGGGACTGTTCAAGCACCAAGATTTTGTGTTCTGTTTAGCCAGATGACAATCACTTAGTCACAGCAAAATTACATGAACAATTCCAGTACAAAAGAACATAATGGTCTGATAAAAGACACATTTCTTGCTAATACTGCTACTTCTAATGTTCCCTGACCCTTAAGCCAGTAAACACATTTGCAAAGGAATGCCTGATATATGAACTCTAATACATCTTAGGTCCAGCACCCTGGATAATTGCAAGAATGGACTGATTCTCTTATTTAATTATAGATATTTGAGTATGTAAAGAGGAAATTTACCAAGGCTTCTGTAGAAGTCTAGTTCACTTGTAATTGTGGCAGATTTCCCCCTTTAAATGAACCTGTCTTTTCCTATCCTCTTTACTCTGGTTCTTTATTTGCTTGTTTGCTTTTCCTCCTTTACCTAAATAAAAGATAAAAAAAGAACTTTAATCTTTTTTTTTTTTAAATATACATTGCATTCGGGCCCCAGACTTGTCCATGCCAGTATGTAACTACTCCAAGTCAATACTGTCTGTTGTGTCCTGATGGTAAACATCACTGGTATGAGAAGTGAATCACAAAAATGGTTTTTTATATATAATTCACCCTGTTGGACACAGTATTACATCTACATTCATTTATCTATTGCACCTTTTAATGCTATTCACACTTCATTTTTATATGAGGATGTTCAAAACACAAAGTTAACTGAACTGTAAATCTCTAACACCTCAAGTTTACCTGTACAGAGGGAAACCATTGATTTATTTTCTCAGGAAGATAAAAACTACCTTTTCAGAACAAGGAGATAAAAACTAATGTTCTCTTAAAATATGTAGGTATATTGTCTTATGTCTACTGTTGTGTATCATGAATCTTAAAAACTGAAACCAAAACTGGCTTCCATCTTTCCTATGTGTCATTCTTTTTCAGACCTTTGATAATATGCTATTTACTTTTGGTGGTTTTGCACTGACCTGCGTTTTTTTCATTTATAGTTCTGCCTCAAATCGTTGTGTATCCAATTTATGTCTAATTCACTCTTACAAAGCAAAATAAACAGCTGAGCCGCTCTTCTAAATGCATATCTACATATTCTCTCCTTCCTGTTCTTGTTTTGCTGACAGCTATATTTAAAAATTATCTGTAGCTTACAGAGACATGAGTGTATACTGGTTGGAGTTGCTTGCTTTTCAAAAATTCAGGCATGTTTAAAACAATACTACCCTTCCAATGTCTCAAATATCCTCAGTTGATACAGCTGCCCAAACATTCAGGCTCCACTGCAGTCACATGAATGTGTGTTACCATATGAGACTTACTTAGAAAGTGAGTGCTGTGATACAGCTCTTTGTACTTCGCTTCACTTAATGCATATAACTTGACTGGTACCCTTTTGAAGTGCATCTTTAAGAAGATAGATAAATAGCAAATACACAACTCTTAGTAGTAAACAGATGAAAGGTTTTTTTTTTCTGTAAACAAAATGATTCTATCAATCAATCAGATCTGTTCCTACTTTCCCACCTATCCAATTTAAATTAAAAAAAAAAAAAAGAAAGAAAAGAAAGTACTATTGTCACATTGGTTTGGCATTGTCTGTTAAACCTGTTCTCTATTGCACTTTCTACACTTCCACTTTCACTACACTTGCTGACTAGTTGAGGAACTACTTCACAAACGGTCACATTCCATACAGTAACAAGTTGCTTCGCTGGATCCATTTTCCTTGTAGGATTTTGTTTTTTGTGTGGTTTTTGTTCTTTTTAACTGAAAAAAATGTAGTCGTTTCTGCTCTCTTTTAGCATTCGTAGTGTAGAAAACACTACACCTTATTCTGCAAGTAGGAAACAATGCTGTGGCTGTCAAACTGGCATGACCTCAGACATCATTTCTTCAGCTTCCAGCTGAGAGTTTGTACCTGTCTGTGCTACTGGCACCATGACTGCGTCCTTGATGTCTGAGGTCTGCATGCACGAAGAGTTCTTCTCCTCCAGTTTTTTGGTGGTGTCTGGGCAGTTCTGAACAAAGATCACTCTGTTGTAGGCTTTCAACCTGCGCCACAGCTGAACATACACCTTACACTGCACGTACATGAAGACCAGGCCCCCCGTGAATCCAATGGCCACCACAACGAGTTTTGTCCAAAATGGCCATTCGAGGACACCTTTGAAATAAAACATTTATATAAACGACTGTTGTTATACATTGAATATTAAACACTGAGTTTCAGTAAAATATTTTGAAAATAAGCCACGCTAAGAATTCCGGGTATGTGCATGCTATTGGGGCAGTCATGGCTCAAGCAGAAAACAGCAGCAGTTTCCTGTCCCATAGGTCAGCCAAGAAACTACATCTGCCTCCTGCTTTCAACTGGCTTCACCACAATTTGATCAAATAAGAAATGCAAGGCCACTCTCACAAAGGAAGCATGATGGTTGATAACATTGATAGCTGTAGTTTTCTCTGTCATGGTAACTATTTAGCAGTACTTAGAAATAGTAACAATATATTAAGTGATAGTGCTAGCCATTTTTCTTTTAATTTGCAGCAAAATGAAAGCATACAAAGACCTTACAACTCGCTTTGTATCTATCTCCCTAATCACTATTACTCTGCTTAACTGAACTTGCCAGGGACAAATCCTCGTGTATTTGTTAAATTTGTTCACAAAATGTTTGTCATACCTTTCTCCAATCCCCTGTCCTGGAATCAAAGGAAGTAACAAAGAACACTTTGCCAAGGTGTCATATCCAGTGATGTGTTCTTTCTTTTTTCTCCGCTTTAACAACTGGTTTTAAATATCACTGTCTCTTTCTTGCTCTTAAATGTGAAAACAGTATGCTTTGCTTCTGACTAAGCCCTGTCAGTGGTAAAGACACCTCGAACCAGCAAGTCACAGCTGAAGTGCTGAGCTCGGAAGAAAGAGGCTGAATAAATGGCTCCATTTTTCTTCAGAGTTTCTTCCACTTCTTAGCAATAAAGATGTGCTGCTTCTGCTTCATCCGTGGTAATACAAAAAGTGTCATTTTTTTGCTTAACTCATATGGCACAGTGAATTTTGCATCTTTCTGTATATTCCAGGATTGCTGTAATTTAACAAACTCGAGATTTATTAAGTGAGGTAAAGCTCAGCTAAGCCTAGACCTGCTTCTTCATGCAGAGCAAATTTATGTGAAACTTGATTCCTTACTACTGGTGCCATATAAATTCTAGAATATTTTAAATAGATTTTAAATTGTCCTTTCTATTGACCAGTGACAGTTTTACCAGTGAAGAGGTTTACACTTTCATTTATTTGTATCATATGCTTTTGTAAAGAGGGAGAAAAGAAATCCCTTTAAATATTTTGAGATACATTTTAAAAAGGGATTTTTAAACTTACACAATATTAACAAACAGTACCAGAATTATTCAGGGCTTTCAGTTTTTCTCTTCAAAAGATGTTTATAAAGTGTTTTTTCCTCCAGTGTTCGTTGTCTTTTCCCCAGCATTTTCCATTTAAACAGAGATAATGGAGAGAAAAGCAAATACGTGGCTCTCCCCTCACCCTGGCCCCAGGTTTGATTTTGTAAAAGCACCATCCCTGCCAACATGGGGGCAAAAGACTTACTTACTTTTCTTCATAAACACTTATTTTTGCATGGTTTAAGTAGCTTCAAGGTGTATCTCTGTGCACTTTTTAGTGTGGAGAATCACCCATTACATTTGGCAGACACTGAATTCTATACAATTCATAAATGTTTTCAACCTACCAGGAATTAATTGATTATTACGCATTCTATATAATAACAAGAATTCATGTTAGCTGCTTTGTTGTGTAAATTCAGCTAACCCACAGAAATACCTTCCCCTTTTTAATGAATAGGATCATGTAGTTGTACTCATCAATAGAAGTTCAAAGCCATTCCTAGTCCTGTCCTTAGGGCCATTTTATTTTGAGATGAAAAATAGGGTTACCCATCTAGAAAGACGGCAAAACACGACTATATAGTATACATTTATCTGTGACTTACTGAGGCTTGTTACATATTTTCCTGTCACAGAGAAGAAAGGCAGACATCAGGAGTATCATCGAATATTTATCTATCAAGACACAAAGCACTGCCTTGTTTTGTTTTCCATGTTAACTTCGGAGCATAGCGCAAAGCTAGAGACCTTTGTCCCTCTCCTATGCTTAAAGTTAATTCAGATCAAAACTCAAAAGCTTTTTATCATCGTGATCATACGTAAGACTAAATTTAAGACCAAACAGACTTAGATTTGAAATCAATCAATCAAAAACAGTAGTTCAGTTTGGAACACAGTTTCCACATAGGGTAAGTATAGTCACAAAGAAACCTAGTTGTGTTAAACACATTTTGTTACACATGGCCAGTTGGGTTTTTGGTATCTCCACAGATGAAGACTCCATAACCTCTCTGTAGCAGTATTTGATCACCCTCACAGTAAAAGCAACCGGCATTCACGGTGAAATTCTATTCAAAAGGATGCAGGAATGGCTTTCCGTATTTCTTAAGTCCCACATGAAGGACTAACACAACTGGAACACAGTCTCTTAGAATTTTGTATTAGGAAGCTTGCTGATGAAAGGGCTGTATCATGTTTTACAGGATATCAAGGTTCAAGTGGGTAATATAAATAAATCACTATTTTTTGACCTGAACTTGAACCAGGCTGTTTGAATTTGACTCAGCTTTTTGTCTGAACTTCAGAAATATCTAGATAATGGGAGATTAACCTAAGAAAAACCAGCAGGCTAGCTTAGCCATGGTAATGATTACACTAAGTAGAGGTCTCTGCAGGGGTGTAACAAGCTTTTAACACTGATGTACTCATTACTTCTGCATTAAAGCATCTGATGTAGCCATGTATCAGTGGGCTGTTATTTAAGAACAGAATGTGACTGGTTACATAGCTGCCTTTCAAAGCCATCCATTGCATTATCAACAAGACAGAGGAAGGTAGAAGACACTTACCATTATCATTGCCTTGTTTAATTTCCTCAGCAGTTCTGTCAATTAAAACATACAATGACCAAACAACACATGTAATTGCAATTACGTGGAATGTGACCGAACAAACTATTTTCCTCCTCTCACTTGTTGTCATCTGTAGTTTCTCCCACTGTAATGGAAAAAAAAAAACCCAAAACAAAAGTCAGAATTTTAAAAAGTACAATAAAGTGAGTAGGCCATTCTGTCTCCTTCTACCAAAAAGAAAGAAAGGAAGAAAAGCAGTAATAAGATTAACAAATCATTTTATTTTGATAATACACATTACAGTAATATGTGTATCATCACTGTAAAATTCTAATGATGTTATTTTCACAGATTCAGAGGAATGACGAGTTCTGTTCTGTTTTCTGTCTGCTTGCAAATGACATCTAAAGTAATTCCATTGCAGCACAGCCAAAACATGTTAATAGACAGGTAAAAGGCTGAATATTGATTTTAACTTTACCTGATGCACACTTCTGATGATGAGAGAATTAAAAAACCCCAAACATTAGTTTTTAATACTTACACTATTCTGAGCTTAAAATTAGAGGAATGCAGTTATGGAACAGTCTTCCCATAAATTAAGAGCATAAGAAATGCAACTGCATTGAGGATTAAATTCAATAAAGTTGAAATAATTATTACATGGAAATGACTGCACGTGAAAGCAGTCAAACAGCCTTGTTAATACAAGAAGGATCTTGTTAGTGAATTATGGCCCTAAATCCATCATACACTTGTGAATTACAGCACTAAATCCTGTCTTAAATTAAGGCTATTTTAAGGTGAAATGAGCTATTCTCCGCATTTGAACAATGCAACTTGAGGCCAATTCTTAATCGTCTTGCTTGTGAAGATGTATTATTTTCAAGACTTCTTTAAAATAAACCCTTCTCTACTAAAATGCTTCCCTGAAAAAGAGATTGATGAATGACATTTAAAACCAAAATGCCTCAATTCCAATGAATAATTTCGGAGCTGGTCGCTAGCATGTGATGCATAGAACAAGTACAAACCACAATACAACAGTGCCACCTCCCTGCAGTCGTGCCCGTGCAAGACTGAACTGTGCTTCGGTGTGCAGGCCCCAGCGCAGACACCGGCACAGCAAAGCTGCTCTCGCTACGTGTACCTTTAGCGCACTCCTGCTGTGGTTCCTAGTCTTTTCCGGGTGCTAAGGCTGGATAAAAACCCCTGGCCACTTCAGAGCACCGAGGTGGTATAAATTTACTTTGGAAGTATGAGTTTGGCTTTGTTTTCCTTGTTTGGGGTTGTTTTGGGGCTTTTTTTTTTGGTTGGCTGCTTTGTTTTTTGTATTTTGTTTTGGTTTGTTATAGGGAAATAACAAATTTCCCTTAAATTACTTACGGCTACTGTTGGAGATAGCATTAAAGCTAGATGCTTAGACTTTAACCTGAACAAGCATGGCAGCTCTTGTCTTGCTGTCCCATCACATTCTGAAGGAGCACAACTGCAGTAAAATGCTGATGCAATGTCACCAGGAGGGCTAACTTTCAGAACTGCTTCTTCCTGCCCCTAGTTTTGGAACAGTACTAGGCCAAACAGATTTCAGTCTTTGATGGCAGGTAAACGTGCACATTTCAGAGCTGTTGCCCCAAAACAAAGTCTCTGGAGCATTTTCTAGTCCTGGCCAGAGTTTTACAATCACAAGGCTTAAATAACTCTATAGAAGAACTGAAATATTTCCTTAGTTATATGCAGACAGAGCTAGCAGTTTATTTGCTAGCTAATACCTCATTTCAGTTTCTGATACATCTACTTAGGAATGAAAACTAAGCTTACTGGCTTTTGTACAGCAGTCTGGGAAAATGGGAGACATTAAAAAAAGTAAATAAAGTGACAAGAAACCCCAGAATCTTATATTCATTGTAGTTCTTGTAGGTAGTATTCAGCAGACAGACTGACATTATCATCACAGTCTTATCATATCATTATAGTCACCAGGTTATACAGCATTTGACCTGGAGACTGTCATCCTTTTTGCAGTGAAAATTCAACTCAAGCCTTGCAACAGGCTTTCTTTCTAAAGAAAAAGTGGTCTTTGTCCACATGGAAGAAGGGATTTTACCTTAACCCTTCATTTACTTGTGGATACTTCGTGAGAGATCAGTGCTGAACATAATAAAGAATTAACTGTATTCATAAGTAGATGTTTTTTGTCATCTCAGCTCTGATGCTATGCTTTTTGGTCTACTGGAGAAAAGATTCTGAGCTAAATTTTCACTGTTGTGTATACCTCCGATCTCATTGTAGCCATTTTACTCTCTGTAACATACACAAAAGCCTTAGTGTTGATCTGAACATATCAGATATCTTGATGTGAACATATTAAATTGCCCAGCCATATACAGCTTTTTCATATGGAATTTTAAAGTCACAGAATGTTGTTCCCATTTCTCTAAATGCAAATATTTTGTAAGTGGGGAGGGGGGGGGGGGGGGGGAAGCAAAACCTAATGACCAATGGACAGGATAGGTAAATAAAAGAACAAGCTCACAAATTTCTGCTGAGATTGGCAAGAAAAGTGTATCAGGAGAGGGATCTAGCAGAAATAGGCTAAAGCAGGCCTTTTTTGCTAACATCCCATGATCAGATCCAGCCAGAAAGCAAGCCAAGGCCTGCCCGACTCGATTCCTCTCTTTGGCCCCTTTCCTTTTCCCACCACACAGTGTGCCGGTGTGCCTAGTCTATCCACGCACATGTTACCACACCAGAAATAAGCTGGTTGGCAGGAGACTCAAAGAGGCCACAAGGACATGGGTCGTTATGGAACTGGACGACTGTGCAGAGTCCCAGCTGGGATACAAAAAAGGAATGAGAGACCTGCTCACACAGACACAGGGCGATCAGAGTACTTGGGAGCAATTACAGCTCCTAAAGGGTTGCGCTTTTGTTCTGCTCTGCCCCAGCTGCAGTCCCAGTTCTCCTCTCAACTCCAGTCATGATGTGCTGAACTCAGAAGGGGAAGTTCAATTAAACTTTGTGCTCTACTCCTGGTGATCCCTGTGGAAGCCAAGGTAATTTTTCCTGTCCTACTCATATATTTTAGCTTGGCTGAACAGAGAGTACTATATGAGAACTGTCACTCTTTAGTAGACGAGTGAAGGTAGTAGATAAGCCAGCAATTTATGTTGCCTTGGAGCAGAAAAGTGCAATTCACAATTTTAGGATATTTGCAATTGGCTTAAATCAAAAATCTAACTGTCTATGTTAGCACATATTTGCTTGGATAAAAGCATAGGTAGGGAAATAAAAAATTAATTGAAAATCCACAGCAAAGGCCACAATATCTTGAGCAGTAAAAGCATCAGCCCCTTTTACTTGTACGTTATAGTCCGGGACCCAATATTGCTTAAAGTGGTGTGAGTAAGTTTGGCAGGTGCTATCATGTTACACAGCACACCAGTGCCTCCTTAGCCACTGATAAATTCACCCCTGCTGTATTTGGAAGCTTCTGCAGTTCTCATGGCTCTCTACATTCATGATAACAAGGTAAAATAAAATGCCTCATCTTTTACCATCTTCATCAGTGCTCCGTTAAAATGTACAACCATCAGGCTGATGATGCTTTCACATGCCATGGATAGAATATCAGAGCCACCAAGAAGAGAAAAATAACACAAAAGTAAGTGCCCAGATGCAATTTTTCTTGGAAACATGTATGTTAATATTCCTGAAGAGACTGGACAAAGAAATGGAAGAGACTGTAACAGCCAGAGGAGACATTTATAATGACTTGTATTGAGTCTCTAAATTGATAGACAAACACAGTAGCTTTTGCCCAGCCTCCCCTTCACTGTTGTACATCCGATTGTCCTCATCCGCAAATGCTTTAATCCTGACAGCAATACACACACAGACAGGAAATCATGAGAGATGCAGATGGTTTAATGTCCTGCAAGTGCAAGCAATTGCATAAATACCATTATTAGAACAGGTGTGCTAAAACACTCTGTAACATCTAACAACCACAACACCTTTTACACAAGTCACCAAAAAAATCCACAATGCAACAATATATATCCCAAGAAGAAAACTTGACATAGCCCCAGCCCCCTTTTTATTTTCTGAATAAGCTTCCTGAACATTACACTTGTACTGTGCTCTGCAAACCACTGGAGGGCGGTAGGAGACTGTCTACCTGCTTCAGAGGGTCCTACCAGGAAGAGCGCATGAACTGTCAAAGAAAAGAAGGTGGATTGTAAATGTTATCAGAAACACTCCTCCCACCCCAGCCACTACTTAGAGCTACTGCTAAACCACGATGTGCACCTCAGCCTGAATTCCTGTACTTTACTGCCAGATAAGTTTGTGATAATCTTGAAAGTGGCAGCTATAAAACCCTGTTCTAGGTTTCGACCTTGTGCTCTGGTTTTGATTCTTAAAGACTCTGAAACTTTAAAGAGAATGGTTACTGATTTCAAAACTCACTCTTGCAATTACAAAATGCAGTCATGAGTCTTCTGGGTAAAGAAAAAGAAAATAAAAAATAAAATACAGCCTACTCACAAGGAACATCTAAATCATATGCAGCCAACCACTTCCCTTTCCTACAACATAGCCTGATAAAAGCCCTGGTATTTATTTTAAAGGACCAAAATTTACCCCCCTGCATGTCAGTGCTAATAGAAGCTTGGTTAATCAGTATGCAACAAATAAAGATGGATATTTTTTAAATATCCTCTGAAAACAGATTGTCTGCAGACGTGGGGATGCTGCTTCATATCCTAGAGATCCCAATACAGCCTCTCTTCTTAACAGAAGTAAATCTGCAATTTTAATTCCCTCCCATACTTAAGCTTTCTGCAAAGCAGTTTCATGATTGCCCAATGCAGAACCAAAAGATTCACACTGATTCACACGCAAGAGCCGTTACCCCACCACAGAATCGCACTCTGCAGACTTCGCTGCTTTTGTTCCTTTCCCACGCTTTCCAATGGTAGATTTATTGCCTGCCTGCCCCCATCCACCATTTTGTGTCCACACATTGCCTCCTGCTAGTGGTAACCTTCCCTCACATTGGCTACAAGATTTGTCTACGTAGATGTCCTGACGCAACTCCGTATCTACTGCAGGTTTGTAGTTTCAAACCTTTGCAATCAAAGG